TCAAAATGCGAGGCATACAAATGCTGTCCCGGTCGATTCTGTATCGTGGTTTTTATGGCCGTTTAGGGCAAGTGCGTGTCACAGTTGGTAGGGAAGGCAAAAGGTATGGTGGCAGGTAGTAGCTTGAAGTAGGTTGCAGGAAGCAATCCAGGCCCGCAGGGAGGGCGGTGCACGCACAAGATATCCTGTGCGTGCATGGCCACCCTTATCGCCCTTATCGGGCGGGTCTGCCTATCTAATCTATCTGCAAGGGCCTAAGGCTCATGTGGCGCAGCACGTCGTCCAAGCTTTCGAATCGCTTTGCCTTGTCCTTGGCGAGATGATCGTCACGTCGCCGAAGGGACTTGTCGATAGACTCGACCTCTTTGACTCGCGCGGAGAGCCCAGCATGGATGCCTTCATTCATGAGACCTTTTTCCAACAGCTCCCTGAGCCCCTCCACCATCCTCTTGTAGTTACCTTGCACGGCGGGCCAGACGTTATTGATAAACGTTTCTCTCAGGAGCTTGCTCCGCTCCTCGGGGTCGCCCACGTTTGGAACCTGCTGGCTCTTAATCAGGCTGTCGATTTTGGCCCGGAGTTGCCCTGTCGTTGCCGGGGGTTGAGACAAGGGAGACGCGGTTTGGGTAAGCGCCTGAGTCTTAGGGGGAAATCGTTCGTCCCTTTGGGCACCGGCTTGAGATGAGCTGCCCGCCGTCAGTGGAGGGAATTCCGTTTGAGGTGACCTTTTTGGGGGGTCCTTTCCATCTGCCTGAGCTGAAGTTTGACATTCGGTTCCCATTGTGACTTTGCTTTGCGTTCTGTAATCGAAGCGATGTCTGGAGGATCAAGTTCGGAATAGGATAAAGCCTAGGCTGTCTTGCGTGCAATATAGTCCAACTGAAACGTTACGGTGGTGGGAAACAAAAGTCGAGGGCAGGCTGGGGAATGAGGGGTTATCCTCCGTTTCTTTTCTGCCCAGAGGGTACCCTCCTGCCCAAGCTGAATCTGCACTTTCCATGTGGCTTGGCCAGGCAGAATCTGACGTGGCGCTGCAGCCTTGGTGGCGTGGGCATGCCCAGGTAATATTTAATGCTCGTTCCAGCTTGGTTTTTAAATGCGGTTGCAACCGCAGCCGACTGAAAGAAAAATAAACAAGGCAAAGAAAAAGAAAATGACCACCCCGCAACTGTCCTACGAGGATTTCATCGTGGCTCGAAGCCGAACAAATCCTTGCATCAGTGGCCTGGCTCGGTACATTAAGCAGCCGCCGTTCGCCAGTGCTAGCAGACTTGTCGTCGTCGATTACCCCGCAAACGACAACAAACTTCCAACCCCGCAGGAAATCACAGCAGTCGAGCTTTCTAAACTACTGGCCTGCCCAAACTTGTCTACGGCCGGACCACGTCCTCAAACGCGCGTCGTTCTCGTCGAAAACATCCAGCCTCAAACGCTGATCATCCTTGGTCAGATCCTCGAGGTGGACCCGGTGTTTTTCGCAGGCCACGTTAACACCGACTTCCAAGACATCGAAAAGGTGCCCCTTCCGCCTTCCCTTGCCTTTTTTCCATCGCAACTTGCCGAAAAGGGGTTTTTATATGTCCACTATCAGCAGGTGATCGACTTAGGCAATTCGTCGACGTTCGATGCCTTGCCGTACGCTCTCAAGACGGACTCGAGCCCCCCACGGAACGTCCGCCGACTGCCTCCCCTGTCGGGAAAACAACTTGCTCTTGCGCGGGGATGTTGCTCCATATTATCGCGAAGGATAAGCGACGGCTCGTGGATTTGTGAGTATCCCCAAAACTCAGCCCCTAACCACCATAAGTCCTGACCAATCTGCTTTAGGCCTCATTCTAGTTGATCCCCCAATCAATTCGGTCATCGCCACTGTAAATGCGGGAAACATAACAAAGCATACGAGCAAGCCTCTACATGGTGGCTTCGAAGACTTCGTACAGCCGGCACCCTTCTCATCCTTCGAACCGGCCACCGGAAACATCGATCGTAATTTGCAGGATCCTCCCCACCAAAGGTCCATGCTCGGCAGCCTCGTCCACTACTTCGTTAACCACCGCCGGCTGCAGGGGTTTTCCGCCAATGCCATGCCATCGAACGTCCTTACAATGGGCTACTACCCGATCCGTATCGCGCTGGCCGAATGGGTTCTCTACACTCACCTGGCCAGCCGATATGTCAAGTTTTACGAGTATACCCTGCGGGACGTCCACATTCGGCTGCACGACAGCGACATTGTCGATCTCCAGCGCTGGCGGCGACGGTGCAAGCAAAGCCAGCACAGATTAGCCCTCCTCGTCGAGTTCGTCCACCACTGGCGTCCTCACAAGCACCAAAAGCAGCGGCTAGGGGACGACAATGATATCGACAAGCAGCAGCAGCTTTGGGACCTGGTTCTCAAAGATATCGGCTTTTTGCAATCGCAGCTCAGGGACCACAGCCACTCGCTGGAACAAATGATCCCTGTGGCGACGGCTATGATACAGCTGCTCGACTCGCGGCAGTCGATCGCCCAATCGGCCAACGTCACGCGACTAACCTACATCGCCCTCGTTTTCGTGCCGCTGTCCTGGGTCGCGGGCCTGTTCAGCATGTCTGAAAGGTACTCGCCAGGCGGGAACGGCGAATTCTGGGTGTACTGGGCCACGGCGCTGCCGCTGCTCCTGGTGGTACTGCTTCTGTCCGCTTTCTCGCGGATGCAAAGGCCGCTGGAAAGCCTTAATAACTTGTGGGAGCGCTTTGAAAGATAAATGTTGGGGCGCGAGCTGGGGATGAGCCGGAGTTGGCAAACATTCACGCATCCAAACAACTGTATTTACGCCAGCCCAAATCGACCCGCCATATCCACGATGGTGCAGAAGGGCCAGTCTTGCGGCTACAGCCGTCCATTAGCCGCGCTCGATAAACTGTCAACCAGAATATCCAATGCGCCGTAGCTGTCACAGTTGATAGGGAAGGCAAAAGGTATTGTCACGGTTCTGGCAACATCTAGCTAAGCCCAATCCAACTAGGCCAAAAGGACGAGAAAGTACAAGTCGGACGACTTGTACCCCACGTTGGGCTTAGTGCCTTGGTGCAAACGAGACATGGCTGCGTCTACCCAACAAGGCACGCCGCACCATCACATCATCCACGATGTCACAGACCCCTCAACAGGCGGTCTAGTTGGGTACGGTCAGGTCCACAGGACCAAGAAGGCTTGTATTTAGAAGACAGTGCTGCAGCCGCTGCCTTCTACAATGATGCTGTGGCTTCCTTGCTGATTTTTGGCCCTCCTTTCCAAAGGGGCCAAAAAAAAAACAGTAAGGGAGGGTTTTAACTTCCGCCATACGGTGTTGAGAGGAGGCAGGCCACGTGCGCCCCCTGGACGCTTCCCCGCCTGCGGCGGTGCCTTACAACTGTAGCTGCCCTGCACCGATACATAATCTGTGACACACGAACACTTGGGAAAAAGGATTGCCTTTCTGTTGCACCCTATAAGGAAAAATCCGGAGCTAGCTCGGGGTTGACATGACAGCTTTGCTTGAAATGGGGGGCGGAACCTGAACCGGGCCTGGCAAATTTCGGTGCTTTAACAAATGCACGGACGAAAAAGTGTGGCCAATGGCCACACTTTCCCGTCCGTGCACTTAATAGTGGGGCTCTCCGCAAATCTGAACTACCACAACACTGTCACAGCTGTTGTGACGGCCCAGGGCAGTTCACCGCACAGCGCAGGGATCCACGTGAGCACGCGCCGCGGAACAGCCCGTGCGACAAGACGCCGCACCACCTTTTCTTCCGCATCGCGTGTTCGGCGCTCTGCGCCTTTTTCCCTTTTCCCTCCCCATAGAAGGGTCTTTCGTCCATAGCATCAATTGAACCTGGCTGCGAAGCCTACTCGCCCTGATCGTGACACGCCAGCCTGCCGTGCCCGGACAGTTTGCGTTGGCCGGCTTGGTGTATTACCCAGCCGTAGCCAACTGCTCCGTCTTCCGCTTTGGATCCGTCGCTGTAGATTATAACGTCCGTAGGGGAGAGGGTGTTAAGCCACGTTATAAATGCTTTGGCGGCTGCTTGCTTTTCTTGTGTGGCCACCGTAAGCCCCGTATATTTATAAGGGAGGTAGGCCGGGCGTGTGCAGGCCGGGACAAGCTTGGCTGTTCTTTGCAGGCAGGTCGTTTGTCTGCTAGGCAGGCCCGCCCTAGGCCTTCGGGCGTTCAGCGTCGCCTTGGCTGCTGTGGTTAGGGGGTGGACTTCTGGGACCGTGTTAATGCGAGCTGCAAAACGGAGGCGGACTTGTTCCAGAAGCGCCTCGGCGCCTGGGATGCCGGACTCATAGTGTAAGGCTTTTATCGGTATGGTTATCCATGCTGGTACCACTGCCCGAAGGGCCGCAACTAATTAAGGCTTTGTTGACCCGTTCGATTAGGTGGCCTTGGCGGGTATGTTGTTGTGCAGGCTTATATGGGTGTGGTTTGGTTTTGCCCTTGTACGACACCTCGGCCCCGTACAGCGCTGTTGGGACAATCACCGTCGTGACGGCTTTATGTACCGAGTGCGCCGGTATCCCTCCCACTGAGTGGGTAAGCCTCCGAAGGTGGTTGGCAACGCTGAGGGCTTTGGCGACCCTGTTGTTGACATGTGGCCCGAAGTTAAGCCTTTGGCCGAAAAAAACGCCCAGCCACCGTAAAGTTACAGGGTTTCCAGGGCTTCCTTTAGCTTGTTGTATAACGAGACCCTCCGTTGTAACCGGCGGGGTTGTAGGATTTCTTTGCCTAGAAAAGTGCATGAGCTCGCATTTTCCCGGATTGAAAGCGACCTTGTTGGCCCTGCCCCAACGGAGGATTTCCGTTACCGTTGCCCCTGCTTTGCGGGAGCATTACTCTGGGGAGTTGCCCGTTACGCACATGCCTATATCGTCCGCGTATCCATACCTAACCCCTTTGGTTTTGGGTAGGATTTCGGCCATATATAGCATGAACAGAACCGGTAATGCCGGTAACCCTTGGGGTAGCCCGCAATCCGGGGAAAAGGGGGTTGCTGTGGCGTCCTCCAGTCGCACTTGGACTAGCCTGTCTCCTGCGAAGGAGGATACCCACCGTACCAACGTTGGATCCCATTCCTGGTTTAGCAGCCTTCGAAGAAGTCTCCGGCGGAGAACGGCGTCGAAAGCCCCTTGGACATCCATGGTGATAAGGGCGGCCGCCTTGTGATTTTGGAGGGCTCGCTCCACCTTGTGGGCCACGCACGCCGTTAAGTCGGTGGCGGCCTTTTTAAGTGTCGCCCCGGCATGTTGCGGGGCTATCAGCCCGTGCTGTAGGGCGAGAGACGCCATCCGCGATGCCACTAAACGTTCCAGCCCTTTTCCTAAGCACGAAAGCAGTGCTATCGGGCGGTATGACTTTAGGTCGGTCATATCTGACTTGTTTGGCTTTTTGAGCATAGCCACCTCTGCTGTACGGAAAGGACTTGGGTGGTGCCCAACCCTAAGGCATGCTTCGAACAGGGCCCTGATGTATTCCCCTATTGCCGGCCATGCCGCTGTAAGCAGCCTGACTGATAGGGAGTCGATGCCCGGGGCCGTGTTTGCTGTGCCAATGGCGCATTTCCGGCACTCTTCCAAAGGGACGTGGAGGTCCTACGGGAGTTGTGTGATCCCCTGAGGGGCCCCCTGGCGTAACGGGTCCTCCTGTACGTCGTCTTCCGCTGTGAACCTGCGGAGGATTTTCCGGCCCAGTGCTTCCGCTTTGTCTTTTGGCGCTACAATAACCCCTCCGTCGATATTTGGCGGGGGAAGTCGTATAGCGGGTGTAAGTTTATGCCACTTCACCGCGCGGTATAGCGCTTCCGGGGAATCAGCTTCCTCCAACACTTTGGCCCAATGCTGTCTTTTGGCTGCCCGAACCGCTGCTTCCAAAGCATGGGCTTCGGTTGTAAAAGGGCCCTCGCCCGCTATGGCTTTGGCTAGGTCCCGCTGTGCGGCAGCGCATTTGTCGTTCCACCACGGTTGGCCTGTACTTTTGGCTTTAGGCTTTTTGCCGATAGTGTCCAGCGCGCTTTTTAGCAGGTTTATTAATGCCTTAGCTGCTATGTCCAGGTAGTTTGTAGTGTGCGGGTTTGTAGGCGGCGGTAGGCTGCCGGCTCCATAACCCGCAAGTGGCGGCAGACTGCCAGCCCCGGTTGCTACCACGTTGGCAAACATTGGAAGTTTGTCGTCGGGGAGCGTGATACGCCTGCAATCCGGAATGGCGTTATTGGGATAGGGAACCCCGATCCGTATTGTGCGGTGGTCTGAGTTTGTTGCTAGCATGGGGTCGATTTCCGCTGTTGCTAACGAGGCGTTGGTAAAGGTAAGGTCCAGCACACCCCCTTGATCGTGCGTGGGCCTACCTGGGTACGTGAGTAGAAAAAGGTTGCAAGTGTCAGCCCATTGGGCTAGAATTCCTTGCATCAGTTCGATCTTCGAATTGTATTTTTTGTACCTCCTGAGCTTCGCGTTACCGCCACTATGTTTTGCACTCCACGCGCAATGTCCAAAGATCCATACGTCCATTTGCCCTCCGCCAGCCGCGTCGGCCAAATAGTAGCTCAATTGATACGCCGTCACCTGTCCCGGACTCCCCTCATCGAAACGATCCTCACCGTTTTACAGCGTCCCCTGGCGACACCTGTAGGCTGGTAATCGTCCCACAAGGTGTTGGCGATTTCGTCCCTGTATGCATCCCACGACTCCTTTCCCGGCTCGACTCTCCCCGCGAGCGCCTCCCTTCTTTCCGTAATATCTCGCCTTGCAACCACCTGCTCGTCACCAAAGTTGGGTGCTGAAAATGCCCTTGAATCGCTCTCTTCGATGAAGTTGTGCAGGCCTGCCATGACCAGCACGAGCTTGACTTGTTGGTCGCAATGGTACTCTGGCGGAGAGTCCCGGATCATTTCCAGCGTCTTTTGAGGACCCCGAAGGTATCTTCAGCTATCGCACGCATTTTTGCGTAGTACAGGTTGAAGACCTCTTTCCGGGGCTCTGGCCTGCGCGTGCCTTGCTTTTGTAAGTGGTATCTCGTCCCTGGATAAGGCAACACAAGCCCGTCGCCTTGGTAATAGCCTTGATCTCCGAGATAAAAGTAGTTTAGAGTAGTGCATCGATCCCTCGGCCCTTGCCATGACGAAACGAACCGCCCACGGTGATCAACGGCCGAGAAAACGTTTTGGCAGATATCTCCTTTCCTACTCCGATACACGGCCGCCTCACTCCTGGGGACCCGTACCTTGACCAAGGTGCCGTCAACAGCTCCCGGGCGGTTTTGGGGGCCCGGCGCACGCCCAGCCGCATCCGCTCGGGCTCAGGGATGTCTGCAAGGCTCTGGGGCTTCACAAACGCGTCGGTGAGGTGGAGGAGGGCCGACAACACCTCGCGGAATCCCCGGTGCACTGTCTCTGTGCTGTGCCCAAAGAAGTGGCCGGTCATCCGGATTAAGCACCCCTGCCCGCAGATGTATAGGAACCAGGCTACTTTCTCGGCCAGGGAGACGTTGCGGGTGCCTCTGACGAGGCCACGGTTGCCGAGCCATGCGCAGAGCTCCAGAAAGGTCCTTTGGGTAATGCGGAAGAGGGTTTGAACGCTGGGGCGGCCTGGATACGCATCCAGTAGTTGAGGAGGATCTCTCCCGAAAAGAACGTATTGTGGATAGAGTAATGCACGGCGTCCCAGGAGCCTCGCAGGCGGCCGCTAATAATCACGGCGGCAACCGCGTGTAGGCATGCTAACAGAACGAGACGGTGTTGGCGTACCGTCAACGGTGGCCGGCGTTGAGAGACGATAGTAGCTGATGGCATTGCTTTTCTATAGAGTAGGGGCAGTAAGCTGAAGGCAGTGATTAGCCCTGTGGTGAATTGCACGTAATAACCTAAAAAATGTAGTCGAAAGCATCTAGATCTTGTTTATATTGATCAAACTCTGGATCGAACTAGGAGCTTGGTGGCCGAGCCCGAGGCTGACAGGCCTCTGCTCGTTTGATACATCTACCGAGCGCCCAGCTACGTTTGATACGCGATCCACCAGGGCTGGGGGGAACTCCTGGCCCGTGCATCCAACAGGTTCAACAGGTTTGGTGGGTCAACAGATCAACAGTTGCATTCACAAACAGGGCATTATACCAGACAGCACTTTGGAAACCACGCGCCATTTGGAGTAGCAGTAGTAGTAGTGTCTATTAACGCCGGGCAGAAAGCTGCAGCGCGCCATTTGGAACTACCTGTCTCAGCCTTACGCTTCGACCAGCCCTGACGTCATCGTCGTGTCAACGTTTTCGCTCGTGTTTGAACACTCGTCCTGCTCGAGCCCCTCCCGGACGACCCCACTCTCTGCCAGGTCATCACCAGGGCCCTTAGGCAAGGTCAGACCGCCGAAATCGTCGACGGCCTCCGCCTTCGTCACGCCCAGGCCCCCATCGAGATTGCCTTTGCTAACGCCACAGCTATGACCCTGCCCCTGCTGGATTCCGCAATTGTTGATCTCGGAATCTAAAGCAAACAATGGGTATAAGTAGATATCCGGGGACGGGAAGAGAGGGCAATCTAAGCTTAGCTTACCCCTGTGCCTGTGATTGGACATTATGGAAAAGGGCGTTATGCAGTTTTCCGCGTCGGTGGCGTCAATGCCTCCAAGCCAATTCAGAACACGACTGAATAGCTCCTCCTTCCCCTCTACCGTGATATCCACGTCGACATCTTCAAATATGGTGATATCACTGAGTGTTGGGGCCCCGGAAACGATGCTTTTCTTGCCGGTAATTTCCAATACGGTGGCGCCATGCGTTGGGGTCACCCAGAACCCAGAAAGACCGATGTCTTTGGAAGTCATAATAAGGCGACGGATGTTAAAGGACGACAGGCGGGTTCGGCGAAGGGCAATAAAGTCAGAGCCTGCTTAGGGCTTTTGCGAA